AAATAGTGTATAGTCACTGAATCATTAGCATAATATTTACATATAATTCACAATGAAAATTGTTTTTCTTTCATATATGAAACACAGACACATTGTCAAAAGTGTTTACAGAATTCAGTACATTGGCCTTCATTTATTTTTTGCTCTGACCTAGCTGTTTGTATTATTATTGTTTTGAATCATATGTGTTAAAAAATTTGCTAATTCCATCGAAACTGACTCACAAGGTAATAACTACTAGGGTTCAAAGGTGAAAGGCATTCTAGGTGACGTACATTTGTCAATATCAAAGCATTGTAAAGGTGTGTTTGCTGTCTTTAAAACAGAGTATAATTTGTAGGCTGTCTGTAGACTTACCAAAGCCAAACAATAGATGGTTAAAGTTTTAATGTTTTTAAGGCATAGAAAGATGAATACTTAATAATGATGTCAGCACCTAATTACTAGTAGGCGTACTGTATATCACAGTTTTTTTTAAATTGTTATTAATTGTAAAGTGAATTTTGAATTGTATGTTTTTTATGCCATAATCGAATAAATATGATAATAGTATGGGCTAGAGGATATCACTCCTAGACAAACAAACAGTAGTTGTCACAAAACTGTAGAATACTGACATACAGATGTAAGACTGTCTGTATGGAGGTATTAAATTGTAATAATACTGTTTTCATAAGCTAGGCCATTAAAATGCCTGGCAGTTGTTTTAATATATTTTTAAGTAAAAGTTCGTAAAGCAATGAACACTATTTAATTGTTATCGTTTTTATGTGTCATTTAAAGTTAATAACTGTGATTAATGATTTGACTTAGTTTTTTAATTGAGTATCATTCTATATTATATCATAGTATTGTTCATCAATAGTGTTCTGCTGGAATGCAAGTCCCTCAAGAAGCTCTATTCCAGTATTCTCGGTCTTTTGTATCCCTCTTTAACTCGTAACTCTTTCCATTCCGTATATCATCAAGCAGCATTATTCTTTTCCTTCTTCTTGGTCTTTTCCTTCTACTCTACCTTTTCTATTACATCTTTCAAAAGACTGTTGTGCCGCAACATGTGACTGATCATTCTCTTTTACCTTTGTTTGATTGAAATTACTATATTTAGCTGTGTATTCTTATACATTATTATTATTATTATTATTATTATTTACAGGTATTCTTATACGTCTTTAATTAAATATAAAAAGGATTAGAATTCAGACTTGAATATATCAATCAGCAATAGTAAGAGTTTAGTTTCTGATATTTATATGACTATATTGTGTCAATATTGGCTAGACAGAAATTGTAGTGCAACAGACAGAAATTGTAGTGCAACAGATTGTAAGGCTGTAACTTGTGGTGTGGTGCTATGACAGTTTACTTAATGTTTGATTGACCAGGCCAAGGCTCAATCACTTTGATATGCCAGTAGTTCTAACCACAATAACAACAATAAAAACAACAATTTTTGAAAGAAAATCAAATTATTATTGTTATAGAGGTTTGTATTTCCCATCAGCTAGAATATATAGAACAGAAGGAAATGAAAATATCATTCAATCAATCTATCATTGATATTTCATTGCGCCAAATTCTTAAAAATTTTTCTGCTCAATGGCACATTTATACAAAAACATAATGTGCATCAAATTAACCAAATTAGCAAACTGGCTGTCACTGCAAAGTTCCAACATACTAGGATTGATCTGTGTATTTCAAAATGTCCTTTAGCATAATTCTTCCACAATAGTTTGAAATTTGGGAGTAAAATATGCATGAAACAATTTAATAGTATTGTACAGCTTTATATTGCATTATGGTAAGCAAGTTTGTCAAGATCAACAGGATTCTACTTGCAGCATCACTGACATGGGGAGTCCAGGATTTTATTTTATTTTATTTTCAATCTTTCAACAAGAACAAAGAAGGTTGAACAGGAGTGCCGAGGAAAAGCAAAAGCTAAAAAAACTGTCATCATGTACTTAACCGAGCCCCTGCCAACAAAGACTTACAAAACAAAATCATTCACAGGAAACATTGAAGTATACCAAAATGCTGCACAGAAAAATACATATAAAAATAAAATTACGAATCAACAGACGTTTACTACTGTATATAACTTTAACACAAAATTTATTGACAAAAAAGATTGACGTTTCGTGTCCATCATGGACATATTTTGAAGATCAAGTGAACAAAAAATAAGCATATGATAGAAAGTATCTTACATTTGGTTTTCTATCATAAGTTTAATTTTTGTTCACTTGATCCTGAAAATGCGTCCATGATGGACACGAAATGCCGATCTTTTTTGTCAATAAATTTTGTGTTAAAACATAAACTTATAATTTAATCCTGTACAATCGTCGAAATAAAAAAAAATGATAGCATAAAAAATAATGGATGTTTTATTTAAACAAGCATGAATTATTTATGCAAACCAACCAACAAAGTACAGTACTGTATGTGAGAAAGATGCTAATCCATTATCTTGTAGACTGGTGTTAATAATAAATGGCCAGTACACATTGGCTGATAACCAACAGTAGCACCATTATTCTGACCAAGTTGTGTAAAGAATGATGTTTTGCAATCAATTGGTAAAAATAATTTATGTATTTTGTTTAATTTCTTTAGCAAGTATGAAACCCAATCAAAGTAAATGCTGCTTTCCAGCCTTTATATTAAAGTCACCAGGTATTCTATGTTAACTGTACTAAACCATGTCAAAATGTGAGAAAGCGTGTAAAGTAGATGTAATTCAAAACCTTAAAGTAATAATAGAATAATACAATTTTGTAGAGTTCAAAGGCAAGTACTGTAAGGATATCACACATGCAGACACACTTGAAAATGCAGTCAAGCATGTCAAATGTATGACTTTTGTGGTTCTATACATTTTAATACAAACATGGTTTGTTAAGAAATATCTGCCACGCTTGGCCATACAAACAGGAGGTTTATTCATGCAGTGCCTATCAATAAGTGTTTCTGTAAATGAGTCTTTTCCTGAATATACCAGTGTGGAGTAAATATTGCTATCAACAATAATAGAAGCATTCAGATAGTATTGAATGTTAAATTGTATGAATCTCACAGTTTCCTACGTAGCAGTATAATTGGAATATTGTCTATTGACGTACATCAAATATACTAAAATCTTCAATAATGTAGAACATAAATAATGTACAAAATTATAGGTTGGCATGATGAAAATTGACAAAGACAGACTAATATGTTTTGTTTTTTTGCTGTGAATAATTTAATAACATTAAAGACTTTTTAAATAATGAACTTTTCAGTTACTGTTATTGCTACAGGGATTCAGTTTTGTTTAAAATCATCAGAAATGCTGTTTAAATTCTCATATAATCAAATGAAATCATACAACGACTTCTGTTACTGAATTATTTCCTTTTGGTGGCTGGATTTTTCCTTGTGTTGTTTGCATTTTATGAAAACTGAACCTTGTTTTCTATCCCTTTGTTGTAAACATTTCATATTTTTTTCTTGTTTCTGTTTTCCACCAGTATCACTTACAGTACTACAGTAGTTTCAGAGTCTTGGTAATGGAATTGTTTTGTTTTTTGACAATCATCCAGTGCTTGGTTTTTGTGATATATTTTCTCTATCTTAATGCTAAGTCTCGTCGCTGTCGCAGTTCCTCTTCTTGCCTTTTCTTTGTGCCTTTTGGCGGAGTTGACCCCAATAAAAACGGTTTAAATTCTAGAATCCCTAAGCTTTTTGTAATACAATTTTCCCTAAAGTCAATTTGTAAGGTTCTCCACAATATTTCTTAGGTTTTTTTGCTCAAGGCTTTTTTTTTGTTTGTTATTGCTTTGTTTTTTTGACATTATTAATGATTAATTTTTTTTTTATCTGTTATTTTTATACGCCTGATTTTTCTTTCTGATGTCTGTTTTTTGAGCTTCTATTTTTTTTTTTTAATTCATGTTTTTACATATATTTTATTGTTAATCCATTCTGTAAGTGGCGGATTATCTTCTGTTGGGTGCGATTTGAAGTAAAATAAAATAGAATAATAAAAACAAGATCTGAAAAATTAATATATGTAAATGATACCTTTGGTACTGTAGTTAATAGAGCATCACATTGCCAACTGGTGAGAACTCATTTCTTGTCCAATTAAGGTTAAGAATCTTTTTCACAGAAACTATTAAACTTCAAGTACACTGTATGCCTACTGGACATGTACCTTTATAGACTAAAATTACCTTAAATATGAGCAAAAAGGATATTTCAATTTGGGGAGGAAGTAGTACTCATCCATCTGTTGCCTCTTTGTTGAATTTAATTAATTGTTTTTTGAACCTGGTGGTACCAAGCTGTAATGAGCTCTACCACGATGATTATCTTGTGAGTTCCAATTTAATACGCTAAATGATAGGATAGCATTTGTCAGCACATTTTTATTGCCACTAACAAATGAACAAGGAAAAACCACATAGCGAAGTACTGTAGTTGTGAGTGTGACATATTGCAGTAAAGTCCACTAAAACATGTTCAAAATGTACTTAAGTGCTACGTATAAAAGCTTGCTGAAAATGTTTATAATCTGATGAAGTGCACTTACAGGTATACTTCCATTGTGTTGAGGAAAATCAAAATTCTGTTTAGTCATATTAAAAGTTTCCATTTTCTAAAGGAAGACTAGTCATCATTTTTACTATTTATATAGTCTAGCATTTGTTTTTGTTAGATTAAATTTAGTATCAAATCTTATACTTGTTGTTTGAGTTTACTGTTTGTGGTCATATCAACATTGTCATCATCCTCATCATTGTCTCCACCGTCAGTGTCAATACAGTATAACATTTATTTATATTCTAGTAAATAAACAAGACACATTGGCATAAAAGATTAAATTAAAAGAAGTATTAGTAAAAATTGACCCACGATAAAGATATATTTAAAAGAAACAATTATAAAAAATATGTAAGATACCTAGTTTGTCATGACTTTGTTAAATCTGTTCTTCTAATTGTATTTTACAGATTATCTGACCTGTTTGGGAATTATGGCAACTCATCAGTGACGAAAATGAAACTAAGAGATTCCCTATCAACTTATCTTTCCTTTGTTTCCTTGAATACATAATATGTTAATCATGGATTTTTAAACAATTCAAAGGATGTATTTGTGATTTGTGCAATTGAAAGATATTGTTCCTGTTTGTTTTATTTCCCTCCATCTACAGTATCCATACTATCATTCTTTACTTATAGATCTTTTATACTTCCTTTCCAAAAATCAGTGCAATTTATACATCCTCACAACCAGTAATATCTTTGTTGTTTTGCAACCCTTCTTTGAAAATCTCCAATTTTGAAAGCAGCAGCAAATATGGGAAGTGCCTCTTCTAAGTTCCAGAAGGCAATATACCAGGGAGACGAAAAACAAGCATTGCTGTTGTATAATAACACACCAGAGATACGCAAGTCGCTTGATCCAAACTCAACGTATGGGGATAAATACGAGCACAATACGTTAATGCATTATGCGAGCCGACATGGTATGGTTCACATTTTAAGGTAAATTCAAATGTCCATTACAGTGGTTTTTATACTTTTTTAACTGAATAATATCATTAACATTATATCTTGGACTAAAGTTATTTAATGTCAGTTAACCATTTAGGTGAACCTCTTTATATCTATACAGTATATAAAGATTTGACAATACTAAAATATAAATTTAAAATTGCTGATTTTTAATAGATGGTGAAAAAAATGTAATTAATGCATTACCACCACCACCATATGGCGATATAACAAGTTGTATGAATATTCATATAAATGTCCTACTCTTTAATTGTTCGCCGTTTCCAAAACATTTAATTAAATTACACTATTCAAAATGAAATTGTACTTGAGATTTTATTTAGAGTATTAATGTTAATACTAATACTACAAGTACTGAAATTTATTCAACAAATTGCATTTGCTGCACAGCATGATTATGAGACAGTGTTAAGATAAACTGCTTTTTGACAATAAAAAAAAAACATTGTTAATAATGAATTGTGGGATGGTTACTAGATAATGTTCTTTTTAATTTTCAAACTGATTAAAAGTTACAAACCTCTGGGGCAAGTCATAGGAGAACAGCCATAATTTCAGCAGACACATTTTAGCATTAACTAGTCAAATAGGTTTTAGAGATCTGAGGAAGAAAACATCTGCTGGTGGGCCCAAACGATCTACAGTACTGTACAATTCTAGGTATCCATCAGCTTGCAAGTTACAGTTTCGTCATAACCTTTTGGCAGTAATAAGTTATGTTTTAATGAGATTGTTATGTTAAAATGCGGATTTAATATGCTTGACCCAGCAGGCTCTTGGAAGGGTGTATGGAAATGTAAGCTACAGTAACAGTGAGCAAATACTCATACATTAAACAATTATATTGTCCTTGGATGTCACCTTGTACTTAGTAGTGGGGAGGAGGGTTTAGTCAAAGGCATTGTGGCAGTAGGGGAAGGAATAAGCAGAGAAAGGGAAGATTATACAGAGGATCAGAGTAGATAATTTAAGATAGAAATTGAGTAGAACATTAAGGGTTAAATATGGTGTTTTATACAGATGGTATGTTTATGTGGGAAAGTTCAAGATGTCTTGATGTGTGTGGTACTGATTGAGGGATTTACACTGTAGGTGAAATGTAGTATATGCTTATACTTTAGTACTTGTTTTAAAACCAGATTGTTTTTTTTAACCCTGGAGTTTAATATTTAATACCATTCTTATTCATTGACTTTGATATAATTCAATCTGGTTAACACTAGAGTACTTAGTGGATAATACTAACAGTTAGGTGTTAATGTGTAAACACTTAATAACAAAACTAGCATGAGTAAACAATGCCACTGAAAGGTAGAATTAAATTTATCAACTAAGGACAACTAGAAAGTATTAACATAAACATTAATAAAATTATCAATATTCCAAGTACTATACACTGTAATGTATCAAGTGTGCAACAGTGCATCCAACCATGTACAAGGCAAATGCTTACAAAGAAAAATCTTGTGCTGTTGTAGCTTGAATAGAATACAATTTGGACAAGCAGAACAAGGAAATGGAAGATTATAAGCGACCAAAAAGATAAGGACTGAACAATACAGGGAGGGGGAAAAATCAAACAGGACAACATTAGAAGCCAATTAAAAACCAAGAATAGAGACCGATGGACATTACAAAGTAGCTGACAGGGGAGAGGGAGATTTTATTTTTAAATACAGTATAATATTTCTTAGTTTTATTAGTATTAGTTTTATTAGTATTAGTATAAAGAGATTAGATAAAAACTAGAAAGTGAAGTGCTGCGAAGTACAACTGCATATAAATGTTCTTCGAACAAAATTATTTATGCGAGTCAAGTGAAAATAATGAATAATAAAAATATAACAAATAATATGAGCACGACCCATTGTCTATATTAGAACAGCTTTGGTACCGTGTACAATAGTGTTTTGCTGCAGTGACATCTCCCTGCTGGCGACTCGCTGCTGCTGGCGATGACTCGCTGCTGGCGAATCGATCTGCGCATGTGTATAAAATGGTATTTATTTCCGAAAACACTATGCCAGTCTACAACAAGCGTCGCCTAAATGTAAAAATTAGCACATTGAAATAGGCTAGTAAATAAGTTTAAATGGGTTCGTAAATAATATTGGCCTCAAAATATTGTGGCTGAGACATGAGCCGATTAAACGTAGAAATAGGAAACCTAGAAATATAGTAAAAACGCTGAATAGTATTCCAGCGTCGCGACATGCCGACGTTGGTACAAACGTTGCCGACGTTGGTACAAACGTTAGTCTACAAACGTCGCCTAAAGTAATTGATTTTACCCGGCAGAACGAAAGAAGGAAACTCCGCTTTTCAGTTGTCTTAGGTGATTGTTTTTTGACAAACAAGGACCTTTCAGAGGTCAAATTGCTGTCAAGAATAGGAATTGGCTGCTTCGCAGCAATAATCATACCATGTTCATGCAAAATGATTACTTCATAATGATACTATAATCATCATAAAAATATTAACATCCTGAGCTTAACACAGTGATTGGCTGTAGGAAATTCTAGACATGGCTTATGTCATCATAGTGAAACTTGTTTGCTTGCTCTCAACATTTTAAAAAGGTTTTGAAAAGGTATGGTTTCATGTACAGATAGGTGTATTATTTCTTAACTCATTTGGAGCATCCTCCTACCTTTGATATTCCAGTTTTCTTTCCAATCAGTTGAAATCTGGGATGTAGTACAGGTACAGTAGCCTCAGTCATTACCATTAAGGGAAAAAAAACCATGTTCTGTTTAGCAAAAGATATTTTTATTTAAAAATAAACAACAAAAGCTTTTTGAATTCATTTTACAATGTTTCCTTCCAGTCTGTTCCTTAAAGACCACAATGGCAATCCTAACAAAAAGAATTTACGTGATGAAACATCCCTTCACTGTGTTAGTTCCGGTGATGATGGGATATCTATTTACAGCCCTGCGGTTGGGTACGGACAAACCTACCCAACAGTTGAACAACAACGCAAGGAATGTTTACGCATGATACTCCAGTGGAAAGGTGGATTGCTGGCTAATGGTGATCGAGAACTTGCAGATGTCTGTGCCACAGATGAGGTAAGTTTAATAGTTGAACGATTCATTAAGGACCAATGGTATTGTACCATCCCTATTCATCCAAATACAGAAGACAATTTGTCTCAAGGTTCATGCAGTAGGTCTTATTAATCTGTCATTACTCTGTCTGATTTAAACTTTGGTAGTCAAGTCTTTCCAAGCCTCCCTTTTTCTTGTGAAATATAGCACTTGGAGGGAGAGATCAAAGTACTTATTTTGCAAGTCACAGAAGGGTTTGAAAATGTAGCATTATGATCCCACTCCGTCTAAATGTTACATTTCTCTAGAGACAGATGTAGCACTTGTGAAATGTAGCACTTTGATGCAATGGGAGATCAAATCTCTTACTTAAACTAGCAGCATAAGTTTTCCTCTGACTGCAACTTGCTCTTTTACCATTGAACTCTCCGTAATCACTAACCAAAATTTATCATCTATGTTTTAATAGCATCTTCCAAAATTGAACAATGATGACATACAAATAGTCAGAGTTTGAATTTCTAAAATGAGCATGTAGGCCTTTAAGAATACAATAATTGTAACAAGAACTCTGAATTTACTATAAATTGTTTGTTCTATCAATTCTGGTTGAGTGTAAAATAAAGTTAAATTGCAATTTTTTTAAATTAACCATTAAAATGGGGAAAATGATCATAGTGTAATATTGATAAATACTCTTGCATTTAAAAACACTATAACAGACATAAAGAGCAGAATGCTTTATTACTTCAAAATCGGATTTTTATATTCATTCGTTGATGATGTCATAAATGGCATAGGTCATTTGTAAAATTGAAAATTATTAAACAGGCATTTCACTGTACAACATTGTATAATGATACTGAGGCAGTATTCAGTTAATGATTAATTAATTGATTAGTATTTAATTAAGTAGACTTTAATTCAAATAAACACATTTCCACAGTGTTATTGACTGGTTGATTTAATTATGATGTTTGGGGTGTTTTTTTCAGCTGATCCATTAATTTAAAACATAAACATACATTGTATATTGAGAACAAAGATTTTGTTTCTGTCATCTTAATTTAAATTTTATCCTTCTATTATTTTTGTATTTTTAAATCCATTTCTATTTTCATCCTTCCCAACATATCCATAGTGTGTTTTACAGGAGACTTCTTTGTAGATTTACTGTGTAATTACACTCACATCTTAAGTTCAGAGGTCACAAGGACTCTACATAGTATTTCACTACCTCAACATCTACATTGGCCAATGGACAAAATAATATGCGATTTACAGTTCAGTCTTATAGAACATACTGTATTCATTAGGGGCTACAGTAATGTGTGCAGCTTTTGTTTGTGTATGAAAATTGAGAGATTCCATCTAAAACTTGGCATTCTACAATGATATGTGATAATTTGAATGTGTTTTTAATCTTCAGTTTATTGTAATAATATTTTACTGCATCAAATGTTTAAATAAGATAAGATAAGATAACTTTATTGTTCCACAAGGGAAATTCTTCTGCTCGTCATCACATACAGTATTATATTAAAAAATGTAAAACAAATATAAAAACATACAAACAGTCACTATAGAAAATATAACAATATACAAGTAAAATACAATGACTACCATCGATAAAATAATAGAATTACAATTATGATTATTTTTATTATTCTTATTCTTATTTCAAGTAAATTATGTTGTCCAAATTAACTGATTACATTTATCTCTTTTTGTTGAATTTAATTTAATCAAATGAAAAAAAGAATAATACTAAAAGGAGTATTAAGCAGATGAGTTGACACAAATGTTCTTTATAACTAATTAACATTTCATTTGTATGTTCTGGGTCTAGTTTATTATACCCGTTTTCTGTACTGTATACCAGTAAATGTTGGTTTTATTATTGTGTAATTCTGTTTTAACTATTTGAATAAAGAATGAAAAAGTTTTAGTTGACTCATTAAATGTTTAAAATTAATGCCTGTAAATAAATAAGTTCCTATGAATGTTCAGTTCATATTTTATATGAACTAATTTTTTTCTTACTGTATTTCACACCAATGCTTTGTCAAATATATGAAATATAAATTTATATTGGCAAACATACTATGGCAATAAAAAGAACTCTTAAATGTAGATAATAAAGTTATTACACATATAGTTATGATTATTATGTGCATTGAATAAGGTACCTTTGACTTGTTTTCATATATTATTACCACTACTATCTCATTACCATGAGCATCATTATCAAAATCATCAGTGATAAGTGTTACCATCCTCATCATTATCGTCCCCTCCATTGTCACCGTCACTATCATCATCATTATCAACATCATAATCATGGTGGTAGTCATCAACATTTCATAATAAATACAAGATACTATATTAAAATATTTCATGACAACTTTTCTACCAATAATACATCTATCATCTGTTTTTGGTTGAATTTCCTATCTCGCTACAATTAAGAATTAAGAAACCATTTAAAACAAAACTGAGAAAGTGCTCAGAACATTAATTAAAATATCTCCTAATGATTCTTTAATTTTTTTCCCCGCAGAAAAAGAACACTGCCCTTCATTATGCAGCAGGAGCTGGTTATCTGTCCTTGGTTGAGGTAAGAGTGCTTAATATTCTTATACTTGACCATCACTGTAGTCAACAACAGACCAGAAAACTCCTCAGTCTAATTGAGTTTGTTGCTTTAACGAGTCACAAGAGGCTTTCGGATGTAAGCACACACTCCTGCGAGGAAACCAAAATCTCCCACGAATAAAGCCCTTGTCTCACAAACTGTCTTTCCGAAGTCAGCTGGCAATAAATTGTATTAACTAAACCTTCTCTCTAAAGTTCCTTCTCCCATCTTGGGACAACTGATCACAAATAACCAGCTTTGCTGATTAAATCATCTTTGGTAGATGTTCTATGGACTTTTTTGGCTCAAGTCTGCATAAACACCAATATTTAATACCATTTTTTTGTTACATATTATATCATTAACTTAATTTAATTTATTTATTATGATTGAATGAATTCCCTTTTTTTTTTAAATAATTTTTTAAAGATGCTCATTGTCCATGGTGCTCCATTATTTGAAGAGAACTTGGAGAAAGAGACACCTTGTGACTGTGCTGAGAAAAGTCATCGTTACGAAATAGCATCATACCTGGAATCAAAGATGGTGTTTTGTGTATGTACTAACTTTTAATATTGAGTGGTGAATATAAGAATATTATTCTACTGGGGTGGGAGGAAGCTGATGGGAGGTGCAAAGGATTAGAGAAGGAGCTAGATGATAAAGGGTGGTTGAAAAAATAAGATAAGAGAATGAATGTTAACTATTAGAGCATCTTTATTTTTGCTTAGAAAATTTTCAGTGGGGTTGGGGAATGTTTTTTTTTGGGGGAGGTTAGTTTCCCCACGCCATCCAGTAGCTGAGTCACTGGATATCTACCATTAAGCTTTACATTGGCGTGGAAACCTGATAATGAAACAAGATATATGATGCAGTGCTTGCATTGTTGCTCCAGGAAATCGTAATAAAAGAACATAATATATTCTTCATAATTAGATTAACAGTATAATCAAAATCATATCTGTGACATGTATGTGTACTATTTCCCATTGAACTTTTTCCCTATGTTGCATATATGCTTTGATTCTGTTTGGTATAATGTTTCAAATTATTGTCTAGTATTAATTATATGATGTGACTTGTGTTGTAAATTACTGCTTTAGCCTTTAGGCAGTATCATGCAAAGCGTTGTTTGTTGTATACGCTAATGTGGTCTGGGTTCCTAGGCTAATGCCAGTATTATGTGATACTGTGTTGTAGTGTTAATGGGGTACCTAGGCTAGTGACAGTGTTATGTGATACTGTGTTGTTGTAGTCCTAATGTGGTCTGGGTTCCTAGGCTAATGCCAGTTTTATGTGATACTATGTTTTGGAGTTAATGGGGACTGGGTTCCTATGCTAATGCCAGTGTTATGTGATACTGTATTTTAGTGTTATGGCAACTGGTTACCTACAGTAGGCTAGTGACATAGGTATGTGGTACTGTGCTGTTGTAGTGCTAATGTGGTCTGGGCTAATGCCAGTGTTGTGTGATACTGTGTTGTAGTGTTAATGTGGACTGGGTACCTTTGCTAGTTACAGTGTTACAGTATGTGATACTGTGCTGTTGTAGTCCTAATGTGGTCTGGGTTCCTAGGCTAATGACAGTGTTATGTGATACTGTGTTGTAGTGTTAATGGGGACTGGGTACCTGGGCTAGTGACAGTGTTATGTGATACTGTGTTGTAGTGTTAATGGGGACTGGGTACCTGGTCTAGTGACAGTGTTATGTGATACTGTGCCTTTGTAGTTGCTAATGTGGTCTTGGTTCCTAGAGTAATAACAGTGTTATGTGATACTGTGTTGTAGTGTTAATGGGGACTGGGTACCTAGGCTAATGACAGTGTTATGTGATACTGTGTTGTAGTGTTAACGGGGACTGGGTACCTGGGCTAGTGAAAGTGTTATGTGATACTGTGCCGTTGTAGTGCTAATGTGGTCTTGGTTCCTAGAGTAATAATAGTGTTATGTCATATTGTGTTGTAGTGTTAATGGGGACTGGGTACCTAGGCTAATGACAGTGTTATGTGATACTGTGTTGTAGTGTTAATGGGGACTGGGTACCTGGGCTAGTGACAGTGTTATGTGATACTGTGCCGTTGTAGTGCTAATGTGGTCTTGGTTCCTAGAGTAATAACAGTGTTATGTCATATTGTGTTGTAGTGTTAATGGGGACTGGGTACCTAGGCTAATGACAGTGTTATGTGATACTGTGTTGTAGTGTTAAGGGGGACTGGGTACCTGGGCTAGTGACAGTGTTATGTGATTCTGTGCCGTTGTAGTGCTAATGTGGTCTTGGTTCCTAGAGTAATAACAGTGTTATGTCATATTGTGTTGTAGTGTTAATGGGGACTTGGTACCTAGGCTAATGACAGTGTTATGTGATACTATGTTGTAGTGTTAATGGGGACTGGGTACCTGGGCTAGTGACAGTGTTATGTGATACTGTGCCGTTGTAGTGCTAATGTGGTCTTGGTTCCTAGAGTAATAACAGTGTTATGTCATATTGTGTTGTAGTGTTAATGGGGACTGGGTACCTAGGCTAATGACAGTGTTATGTGATACTATGTTGTAGTGTTAATGGGGACTGGGTACTTAGGCTATTGACAGTGTTACAGTATGTGATACAGTGTTGTTGTGGTGCTAATGTGTACCTAGGTTGACATGAGGGAGCTTTCAATTTAACGACAGTAGGATGTAGAATGTAATGACGTCACTAAAGCCTGGTTCTTACGAGAGCCCTAGTATCCGGATCAGGAGCTAACCGTTAGCGCTAACCGTTAGCACCTGCGTGAGAACGCCCGATCGGTTAGCGCTAACCGTTAGCAGTATCCGAATACGCTAACTGTTAGCAAGGGCTATCGGTTAGCAAGTTGAGGGCGTTTCTATCATCAACCAATCACACGTAGGCATTTACAATTTCCTGTTTCTTATTGGCCAGTGATTCAATCATCATATTGTTGGTATCCGGATCGGGAATTTCTCGCATGGACGCACGGCAGCTAACGGTTAGCAGGATGCAGATCCAGCTAACCGTTAGCTGCCGTGTGAGAACATAGCCATAGGCTATGTTCTCACACGGCAGCTAACGGTTAGCAGAATCAGGATTCTGCTAACCGTTAGCTGGCGTGTGTCCATTCGAGAAAATCCCGATCCGGATACCAAGAAAATGACGTCATTTTAAAGGTCACTCAATCGGAAGTCAACCGATAGATCATTTCGCGCGAGAATTGAAAACATTTTTTCGAGGTTGATGAAACAGATGCATGATGAATATTCTGCCCATGTTACCACTTATTTTACCGATGCTTGATATAGATTTCAATATTTTTGATAACGTTCAGTTATCATTAATTTTCGGTCTATTAAATACAGTTATAGTATGTAGAAGGCGACGTTTAGACATCCTTCACCAGCTTAAATTGAGCCAGGCTAGATACTGGTGTTAATGTGTACCTAGGTTGACATGAGGGAGCTTTCAATTTAACGACAGTAGGATGTAGAATGTCATGACATCACTAAAGCCTGGTTCTTACGAGAGCCCTAGTATCCGGATCAGGAGCTAACCGTTAGCGCTAACCGTTAGCACCTGCGTGAGAACGCCCATCCAGTGTGGACATCTGTGGAAGGGATGGAAACTTTTTCTGGTGCTTGGACCAAACGTCTCCCTTAAATGCCATTAGTTCATTGGTTGAAGGCAGTCTTTGTAATGGTACTTTAGTCTGGTTTTTCAGGCTAAAGACAATGTTATACAATGTAATGTTATTGTACTGTAGTGCTAACATTTTTGTATGTTCTATTTTTCAGCCGGATTTTATAGATGATGATTTTACTGAAGAATTAAGCAATGTGATATATGAAGATGTAAGTTATTTTTATAAAATGACAATATTGTGTTTTTATACTAATTCTATCATTTCTTTTTCATTATTATTTTCAATTCTTTATTGAATATCTTGGAGATGGTCTGGAAAATCTGACCATTTGATGTTTTTTTTAATATCACAAAATAAAAGAAAACACTTTAAACATCTAAACCTAGATATCAATGCCTGCGACTAAACTTTTTAAGTCTCATACCAAGTGATAGGATACTTGAAAACAAAATAAATTAGCAAAAAATATTTAGTAAGACTGCTTCAAAACACTGTTGATCTCGATTGATTTCACTATTTTATCCAGATTTATACATCTAGTTTCTCTCTAAATTATTTCTTGCCTTCAAAATTGATAAATTCATTGTTGTTTTTAACGCTTGTTTTCTTTGATTAACTCATCTTTACGGTTATTAAATTTGTACGTGTTTTGCATTGAATGTCTACATGCAGGGCGTTAGATTATCAGTGAGCAAATCTAAGATTATTTATGGTTGACAAGTGAAGTTGGTCATCTATGTAATCTATTAGCTAACTTAATATCCATTGATTTTTACAAAATGGATTAGCATTTTAACCCTACAAATGTCAAAATTATGAGAATACTTTAATTATACTACTTGTCTGAATTCAATGAAATTAAATAGAACAAAACAAAAAAATATGCTAATATAATTTCCAATTATATTCTGATTTACTTTTACTTAATTTTCATCACTAAGTATACTTGAATTTGTATGAAAAATTGTGTGTTTTTTTTTTATTTAAGTGTACAAACAGTTTGCTAGGATGAAGGACAAAAATTAAATCAAATCAAATTCACTTTATTGCAATCTGACAAGATAAAAAATCTTCACCAAATTGAAGTTTAACAATAGTAAAATCACTAAAAGACATAAAATATAATTCATTAAACCGCCATACACTTTAAAAAATATGTTAACATTTGATTCAAATCATTCACGATGTTTTAAAAAAAAAACGCTTGGTGTAAAACATTTCAATTTTATAAAATTGAAATGTTGAATAGTTCAAATTTTTGTTTTAAAGTCTTAAAATGTTACCTTTAAGTCTTGATTTCTGGTTTCAACAGCTGCGTTAGCTCTCTACGTACATGTGACATAAATTATATTCCACTGCCTGTTAAGTTGCTTACAGTATAAAGAAGCTCTGTATGATAAGGTATACCCTACAGTATATTTAAGTAAATAAACACTCTTTGAAATACTACATCAACATGTTACACTGGTTTATTGATAAACATTTCAGTGTTATTTAAATTTCAAACTTGACAGTCATGTAGCTGAATTGTGTCGCATGATGTATGTATATAGTTAGATTTATATAGCACATGAAGCCACAAATTGAATGAGGTGTGCTCAAGGACGTATTAATATAATAACATAACATTCATATATACACATTTATATCATGGAGGAATTAGTAATTACTCCATGTTTATATTGAACAATTTACAAAACAAGTAATTAATAAGTTTTTATTTTATATCATGGACTATATCCAGAGAGAAAGGTACAAAAAAAAAATATGTACAACTGTGGAATTATAATGCCCTCCTTTATCAAATATTTTTGACGACAATTTAAATTTATTTAACATCATTTGGATATAATCTGATTTCATTAGGTATGTATAAAATTTAAAGTTGTTAAACATATTTTGTGATTTAGTGTGTGTAGCAGATTGTACCAGCCAGCTCACCAGATATTTCATTGTGATATTATTAATGTGATATGTATTAATTTTCTGATACTATCAAGTATCAATGATCATAAAATGGTATTTGAGGATTGTTGAATGTTAAAATCTGAATGAAAGTAACAACATCAGTGGGTGTCTCACAAATTAATGTTGTTATGAATGTTCACTTTAAGCCCATGATCATCCTTCTGAAGCTGTTGGAAATGCTAACATTTTTCGCTCTTCACTCTTGATTGGTTGACATGCAATTTATACACACTATATGCATTTTACATTTTAGAATTTACTATATAAATAAATAAATATGAATACATAATTTTGTAAGAGAGCAACTTAAAATTATGAATTTTCTGATTTAATGTGAAAAAAAAATAATGTGATTTAGACTTGCATTAAATATGATATTGCTGTTATAACATATGGCATAATTTGTGGTAATTGCACAATTTTTTTTCATGTTAGCAAATGCTTTTTATTAGGACATACTGCCTATGGGATTTAGAGTGGTTCTGTCACAACCAGAAGCATTAGTTACACAAACAGAACATTTAATATGTCACCAAGCATGTAAATTAATACTATATGCTGAATCCATCAAACTAATTCCTCCATGCTGAATCACAGCTAACCATTGGATAGCGAACTTGTTTGTTTTATTTTATCAGTCATAAGAGGATGAATGAGGGCTCAGAATTAATTATGACATAGCTTGTGAGACATGTACTACTTTAATGTTAAAACTATTATTGGAGTAGATGGGTTACCTGTATATGAAACCAGACTGTTGCACATTTCTGCATGCTTTCATTTTATATTTCTGTCTGTCTCTCAAAAAAACTAATTTTTTAAAATTTCTTAACACATACATTCAACCTAAAGTTATAGCTGATATTGCTAATCATGTTGTTAATTTCTAGATTTTTTAATGTATTGTAAGTATCATGTTTTATTTTTTTTTATTGCTTGAGGTCAGCCTAAATGTTATTGTAATGTATTTTGTTTTTTACTTTTTTAACTGCTAAAGAATTAATTTATAAATGAATACCTTTCATCGTTCATTTGTATTGTACGTGTCATGCAATTCAGCCAACTGGCTGTAATCTTACTTAAATAAAATGAAATTCAAGTCTATTTTTGGGGAGCCAAATCATAAATATGTACCATCTTCTGGATTGATTTCGTGTGTAGGAAATAAAGATAATTAATATCAAAATTTAACTCTTATGTTTCACTTTGCAGCAATAACTAATGGTTCACATGTGTCCATTAGGTGCTTAGTTTGAACTTGTTATTTCACTGTCAATTATATGCTGGTATTGGTATTTGATTTCATAAAATCACAATATTTGACATTTACTTTGTATTTTAATATTTTGTAAAAGTTTAATGATGTGGATTCATCAGGTGTAGCTAGCTTATTAGTCACCATTGATGCTCCACAAGCCTCTTGTGGCTTGGGTAGTGCAAGTTGTTTTGGTTGTGAATAAAATAATGACTTTAGTCAGGATTAATCCTAAGGCCTTGAGAAGAATTATTTGACTTAATGCTTTCTTCCCTCAAATTGAATCTTTAAAGCTAGCAGCTGTTACACCATGGTTCTCCATGGATTTTTTGAATTATAAGACGGCCATCAGGCAAACATAATCATTGAAACACATTTTATGAATAATTATGCAGATACAACATTTCGACTTCACATTGTCAAATGTTTGCATGTTTGCCTACCCTACAGATATAAAACCTGTTTTTCTTCTTCTAAAAGGCATTTGTTGGTATGCGGCCACAAGAACTACAGACAGAGAAAGATATTTTAGTTGTTGAGACATCCGATATGTTAAGAGTACCGTTATTTACTGCTGAGGCTCTTCTTAGAAATAATGGTAATTTTGTTTATTTACATGTAAATTTTATATATATTATTATTGTATCTTAACGTTTAAATAAATCTACATTTAATACATTTGAATAAATCTATAGTATAGGAATGCTAAACCACCCAACACTACAGTATTGTAATACATCATCCTATTCTTTAACAAAGAAGACAATGATGAAGATGAAAATGAAGAGGATATAATGATGATAATGACTGACAATGACAACAATGATGTAGAAGGTGATATTTATTTCTTATAAAAGAAGTATGATAATGACTGATTATTATGATGACATATTTTATTGTCCAGAGTGGTCCAGAGAAGCTCTGTTAGAGGCCTGGATGGCAGACCCCGTTGAATGTTGTGAGAAGAATGGTGTGAAGCCCCCTGCAAACCTTGAGAGCCTAAAGAGGGAACACAGACTGACATCCATGGAGGCATCAGACACTACCACCAGTTCAATGATTGTGAGCATCAATTATCAATTTATTTGACTGGCTTCAGCTATTGTAAAATAAGAATATTAGATTAATATGTTAAATTCTTGCGGTACACCACATAGATAGTTCTGAAAAGAACTGTTGTTTTGTTGAGAATGTCTCGACGTTTTGATTGAGTTGTTTCAATCGTCATCAGGAGAATAATATCTGAGTATGCAGCCAATATTAGAGTGTGAAAAAGGCAGGTAAAAAATTTACCATGGTGAGTACTCATGGAAATGTTAGTTAGAAATGGTAGTCTACAAGCGAGATACCAAGATAAACTGTGGAAAGCTTTATTGTCAGTGAGTATTAAAAACTCATCAAGTGGCCGGTTGGTTTCAATGCAAAGCATTAATTAAGGACAAGAAAATCTTCTGCCCACGTTGTTCCAGTTTCAAAGATTATACGGTCAATCAATCTATAGGGCGGAAGACTACATGCGCTAGACTTGTTGTTATTTTACATTATGATCTAAATACAAAGATGGTAAGTATCTTCAAATTGTCATTCAAGGATGCTTCTACATTAACATTTCAATACTTACTACCATGTATGTGCATGGATTTCATTTAGTAATTATTAAGATGTAGGACAGTATGTTCACCCACGCTTCTTTTTTTTTGAATGAACATTTTTAAATGATAATTAGTAAGTCCAGCTTTTCATCAAAAATATTAAGGACAAGAGTTAATGTAGTGGAAAAGGTTATAAAACAGGCTTATTGTGCTTTAATCCAATCCATTTCAGTTTCAATCTGAATAAACCATTAAAAAAGAATGTGTTGTGCGCATGAAGGCTTTATGCATTATGCTCTATAACTTTCTGTTATTAATGTATGAATGAACGAATAATTCATCTTTACATAATTTATTATCCTGTAAATATACACAAGTCTGTACACAATACATCATTACCTAGTCTCAATTCATAACTAATGGTAAATTTCCTTTAGTAATTAGGTAATAGCACTCTGTCATAAGTGTAGGGGTTCTAAAAATGTTCACATCATCATTTTGTTGAGTCTATATTCATCCATGTATGCTTGGAAGATAGATTTTAGAATTTCTATAGCACTGGATAAAATGAAGGTTGTCACTAGTGCTTTACAACAAATAAAAAAAATAAAAAAGAAATTAAAAAATAAACATCCTGATCTTCTGAATCTATGATTGGTTATGATGCAATACAAAACCTCATTTAAATGTAGATGCACATTGGAAACTGGATTATTATGTGAATTATACATGTAGATTGTCATGTGAAACTAATGATGTTATATGGATGGATTCACTAATGGCAATAGTTAATCTAAGATGATTTTCCTTTACCCCCTGTCTACAGTTGATAAGAAATTGATCAATTAATAAGCTTCAACTCCACTCTTTTGATCAAAATTCTTCCACGACAACAAATCTTTCTTCGTCAGTAATGAACAAAGCTTGTGAAGTGAGATACTAATATTATAAAACATTTTATTTGCAATATTTTTCTGTCTGGTAAAGTCTACATTTTAAGCATATCCAGGCTGATGTATGCTATGTGTCTCATATTTTATCAATTTAAAAGTGAAATTAAAATTTGGTGAGTAAGTTCTACAGACTCTAAAAACATCTTCTATAATATTTCTATTTTCTATTAAAGTTTGTATTGCTCTGTGTTATATGTAACTTTACACTTTTTTAAAATTTAAAGAAAAGAACAGACTCAGACATAGACTCTTCAATTAGATTCAGTATCAGTAATACTTTATTCTTATGATGTCATGTACAGTTGATATTAAATTATTATAGGTACTGGCTATACGTACAGCGGCTGTGTATACAACAAAACTGGTTTTGTTATATGCACAGCGACAAGTAACCAATTGCAGCACACCATATTATCATGGGCTTAAAAATTATTATAACAATACACTTCAGAAATTTACAAAGATTTTTAAATTAAACTATAGAGAGTAAAGTCAGTATAATGTACAGGCAAGTGAACCATCTACAAATATGTTTTGAACTAAAAATACAGAACCATAAATTGCTGAATTGTTATTCTACCAATTTAGATATGAAACCATGGCAGTATGGTTTATTACTTAATCAATTAGATTTCATTAAATAGTAAAATTAATTAATTAAGTCAGTTATTGGTATTTAGAAGTAGTTTGTATTAAAGAAATAATACCATAATTTTCCCATCGTTGAGCAGGGATTAATTTGATATGGTGTGCCTGTATCTTTTGAGGCTCGTGTGCAAAAAGCCCAAAGCTGTTATTTACACCATGAAGAATATTTTGTTGCTAGGTTTTTTGTGTAAGTCCAGGGCCTAGCTGAATGCACACAAGCTAACAAGTCTTGCTCTACAGTGTTAGTGAACACAAAATGCAGCCTAGACTCTGGCTGAGCTTAGAAAAACCTATGGCTATGAATTATCAAGGTGATTGACTTATTAAAAGAACTGAAAAGACAAGCCAACGCTGAAATAATTCATCATAATGTTTACACTACATCTTTATCTGTTTAACAAATGTTTACATGGACATTAGGACTACCTACTAATAAACAACATTAATATTCATCGTAACAAAGAGTGTCTGGGCACGTACTAGGAACTTTTTTATATTTTTAAATTTCTAATTTATAGATATAACTTGAATGTTATAGTTTTACTATTAATATTTTTGTATTGCCATCTGAAGATGCTTTTCTTTGTATTTTGAAAAGATAATAAAGTTTATTCGAACATTGATACAAGTAAAAGTGTAAAGAAACATTAAATGGAAGTTCGAATCTTGAAAACTGTTTGTTCATGAAACCAACTCTTAAACAAAAATGGCACCAATTTAATTGATGGATTTTTGTAACAATGTTTTTATATCTATTCCAGTGTGAGATATGTGAAGATTCCATCCAAGCAGACGACTATACCATTGACATTCCCTGCATGCACACATTTTGCCGTGACTGCTGGATAAGGTAATTTATTATTGATTTCATCTAATTATCATCATTCCACAGTGTCTAATTACAACCCAGGAGTTGCATTGTTACCATAGTGATCCAGCTAGGATAACATTTAGTGCTATCATGCACATTTTAACTCATGGATTTTGAAGGATGTGGTTGTTTTGATATTCCCTATCCAATCATTTGAATTTCCAATCTTGTAAGTCTTGAGCAATATAGATTAAGAGGCAATTACTAACATATTATACATCTTGTAAGTGGGGTGGGGAGACAGCAGTTGGGATTTGGAATTCTAAACTTTGAGGTTGGAAAATCCCTTCACTGTGCATTTTACTTGTGTTTTTGAGCAAGACACTATACTATAGTTATGGTTCTATCTCCACCCACGATTATACAGCAAGTGGGTAACTGGCAGGCTTGAACACCAATGATTACTTACTGCAATTAATGGGATTTCCCCCCCCCCCCCCACCACAGGGAGCTGTTGTGTTCCACAGGTGTTATATGTATGTATGAGTAATAACAGGCCTTTCTTGTCTTTATTTGCTATATAAATTTGGCATATTATCATATTTGTTACTAAAACATTATAATTAGAAAAAGAATATCTGTCATTTGTATATTTCCACATAGTACATAGTACCACAAAATGAACATTCATTAAATTCATCATCACTATAATTGTCCTCGTTGTCAATCATCATTGTCGTCATTATCATCAGTCATTGTTATCAATCATCATCATCGTCATCATCACTTATTTTTTATCAATCTTTATCATTAATCTTCATCGTTATCAATCATCATCATCTGTTATTATTGTTTTAATCATCACCATTATCCATAAATTTTTATTTATCATCATCATCCTCACCATTATCATCATCATTAACATTATTCATCATCATCAATCATAATTGTTATTTGAGGCATGTTGTGCCAAAATGGCTAAGTTGTAGCAAAAATTGAAATAAGTTATTAGTATTTTCAGAAACCTGAGTATGTAATCTTTAAAATGAGGGAGTCATTCATTGAAATTGGACGTTTCAAGTTATTGGAAAGTGAAAGTACAGCACTCTTAAGAGTCAAGATAAACATGATTTTGAGTAATTGCCTTCCAAATTTATTTATGCATACATTGTTTAATAGAATTAACTATCAAAATAACATTAAATAAATGATTTGTTGACCACTTCCAGAACTAATGCTTTGGGACAAGGTTAATCATTAAACTGTTGATTTATAGTGAAAAACAAATTTGGGTTTTTAGGTATTTTTTTGAGCTCATTTTATAGCTCATTTACTCAATAATTGTCTGTAGAACAACTTAACAATGACATGCCTCAATTATATCATCATTTTCATCATCATCATCATCATCATCATTAGTTACTGTATAATCATTAATCATCATAATTCTTCATCATCATATTCCTTATAAAGATTTTTTTGTTCATGTAATAACCTTCTCTTGTGAATTTTCTTGTATGGAATACAACATTTCACAACAGTCCTTCTACAACATGAAGTGAATTATACATTACAAAAACTGAGCATCTTCTTACAGGTATCTGACAGGTAAAATAACAGAAGGAGATATTCACAACATAATGTGTCCTGCATATGATTGTCCAAAGCTAGTTCCTGTTGAAGTGGTCGAAGATGTTGTACCACGAGACATAGCCAGAAAATACCTACAGTTTGACATCAGGGTAAGTTAGTAGGTTATGTATATTGGCATTAATTACTTAATTATTCTTTTTAATCTTATGTACTGATTCAAATAAACAGTAGCTAGTAAGATATGTAGAGATCTGTTGAATTCTTCTAACCTAATACTCACAGGCAAAAATATACACATTTTTTATAAGGTTTTAACACTCTACTTTAAATTTCGTTATTATTCTTGGATGTGTACACTATATATTATATGACAACCTTTTTGGTAAACTTCATTAAAGTTAAATCATGGAGACAGAATGAAGCAAACATTTTCAATAAGGCTATATATTTAGGTTCACCTTTTTATCTCTGACTTCCCATGTTAAGACCAATAATGTTTTGATGTCAACTCTATACATAATGTTGGTACCAATGTATGATCCAGAAAGTATAAGGTGAGAGTTATCAAAAAACATCAGAGAGCACGATTGAAATGTTTAGGAACATGAATATAACATAATAGAAGATATTGAAAAAGGAAGACTGAAAAGAAATTGACTGAGTAACAGTACAAACCAAACAATTTTCAACTGGGTCCAACATAATATTAATTGCTTTAGATCATCGCAAATGGTGTGTTTTTGGTGAAATTGGTGATGTTGAAAGAAGAATAGTTGTTGGGATAATGATGTATTTTTTTTGGTTTTACAGGCTTTTGTAGACACAAATCCATATATAAAATGGTGCCCAAAACCTGGATGTAGCTGTGCAGTTAAACTGCCCCAGGAGGCATTGAATAACACTGCTAGTCGCCGTGCACGAACAGCCTCTCCACCGCCTATGTCTAGAGCAGTTACATGCAGTCAGGGACACCAATTCTGCTGGTAAGCTAATTCTAGAAAATGTTTGAAATTCTATAGAGGTCTCTTTTGTATTATATTGTATTTACTGTTTTTCAGTGTCCTAAATGATTGGATTTAGTTAAATGAACCATCTTTACAAAAACATGTTGAAATATAGTGAACCACTAGCATTAAAATTCTCCGATGAGAAACTCTCGAAACACTCGGCGGATTGATTAATAGATCTGTTTTGCATGGGCAGCCGTTGGCCAGCCATTATACACTACTGCCTCTATTATTCTGCCCTCATCGAAGCTTTCTAGATTACGAGAACTTGTTTATTAAAAAAGTGCATGCTTATCTTATTTTTTATTTTGTTTGGTAATTATTAGTGCGTATGATAAACTAAATGGAATGTCACAAAAGATCCTGTTTACACATTTTAATTGAGATGAAGAAAATAACATAAAGATACATAAAATGAGGCACATTCACACTCTAAGTTCATTCATATGTTTTTCTTGTGATGTAGGGAATGTTGTGGAGAACCTCATGAACCATGCAGTTGTAGTAATTTAAAAAAATGGAAAGAAAAAATAAGTGAAGTCAGACCAGAGGAACGTAAGTAAATTAACTTTAAATAATATAATTATGTTTGTGTAAAATACAACTTGTAGCTCATGCCGAAATTTTAATAATACTATTGTAAATATAATGATGTTTTTGTCTTCTTTTATTTCCATCAAAAGCATAATTTTCTAAACATATGGATCTATTCTATTAATTAACAAAAATAGTAATAATGTAAGCCAATCATTACATAGCTATTCACAGTATCAAGTTGTGAAAAGTACATATAATTTACACATATATGGGTGTGGTGCGATGATATAAAGTCCATATACGGGCAAATCATATTTATCAGTTATGTTTATAGAGCTTAGGTGTGCTTTTATTGTGCTAAACAAAAAGAAGTAACTTTGATTTTAAATCAAGATCATTTAAATACTTTGATTTGGTTATTTATATTTTTTCCAAAATTTGCTAGTAAGCGGAACAGAACAAGAATCGGAATCAGTGGCTAACCTACTCTGGCTTGTAACCAACTCTAAAGCCTGCCCAAAATGCACTTCACCTATCCAAAAGAATGAAGGCTGCAATCATATGAAATGTACCAAAGTAAGTTTTAAAAAGTAATTTATAAATTGGTTTTGTTGGCCAGTTGATTTCAGATAGTGACATTAGAATCATACCAGTAATCTCAATCTCAGTATTTATTTCCATCAAAACTCAATGTAACTCAATATAAAACAGTAAAAACACATCATAATAAAGTGAAAAAAAATGGCAAAAGCAAAATTGCCTGTAAAATGTTGTACCACCTTTAAAGAGAAAATGTTTACAAAAATATAAAATATTAACACAGCAAAATTCTTTTAAATTTTTGTTTCTGATGCTATGTTTATTTCTTTGTGACAGTGCAAGAATGACTTTTGTTGGGTTTGTTTAGAAGCTTGGAATAAACATAGTTCAGAAACTGGTGGATATTTCCGTTGCAATCGCTTCGAAGCAGTACAAAAAGTCCACGGCAAGTTGGAGACAGATCGAGAAGATGTGAGTAAAAATATTGAAATTTATTAATATTTGTTTTATTTTTGGTTTTATATTTTCTTAAGGTAATGACTAAAAATATGGAATATGGAACACTTTAAAACTTTAATATAATTATGAGGCATATGCTAATTATAATAATTACAAAAATAGTATTAGGCTTACTATTGTTTGCATTTTCTGGCCTCGAATATAATTCACCTCAAAATTACTCATTTTTTATGTTCAGAAATAAGCTTATATTGAAAGAATTATGGTAATTATTGATTTAATTTGAATTTCTTAGGTTCCATACAATATCAATATATAATACAAATCAAAGCAAAGTAATATAAATATATTTATATGAAATTAAATTTGTTTTATTTTATGCCTCAAGGCTTCAATTGAAACTGGAATCAATAGCATATTTTCATATGTTCTAACAAATTTCAAAAGTATATATCGTGCTCTTTACTATCGAACATTCTTTATCAAATTTGTCAAGGTAGCTGAGGACTATGATTGCCATAGGAATAGATAACATTTAAAAAAAACCAAAACCAAAACAATTCTTTAATATATGAAAACATGAAAGGCTTTTCAAAATATTTTTTCAGATAAAAATAACTTTTCATTCATCCTGATTTGTTATTGAAAGATATTCCTCACCTTATTTTTATTATTGTTGCTTCCTTCCAACTTGACTGAAACTGATTACTAACTGTTATATTATTTCATTGGATCAATGCCAACATTTAAGAAATTGAACTTCTTTTGAATTTTAGAATTTATTTAGTATAATATTTAGATGAAATATATAAAACAATCACTTAAAACCTTTTACAAGTATCAAAATGCCAGATGTATGCACTGCAGACATACTGATGGGCAATGATGCAATCCAAGTGTAACCTAAAGTAAGCATGCTTTATAGAAAGCATGCTTTCAGAAGCCACCCACTTGAAAATCATATTGATTTTCAGCAGAAACATGGCACTGAATCATAGTTTAAATTTTTATTTCCAGTATTTTAAAAGTTTGCAGTAACAACCACAAACTTTGATCCAATGACTGGGACATTTTATGAATTTTTATATGAAATCATTAGTTACTTTTGTTAAGATGATGCATAAAAATTCAACTATATCTTTTTTTCATTTTTAACACCTTCAACTTCTTATTTCTCAGGCGGAGAAGAAGAATACAGAAATGATACATTTGAATCGGTTTTTACATTACTACACACGCTATAAGAATCATGAAAACAGTTTAAACCTTGAAAAACCACTAAAGAAACGAGTTGGTATGAAGATGAAGGCTTTGGCAGGTACAAAAGCCTGTACTGCTGGTGAGTAACAACACGACTTGTCATATCACTTGTCAATGTTGTCATGGGATGTTGTCATGTGAAGGCCTCTGTCCGAGAAAGAAACCAAGAACCGAATTGACAAATTTCAACAATTCTGATTCACAATATTATAATGTAGGATATGAATCTTAAATTATAAATGATATGAGACACCCCTATTTAGGGAAAACCTTTATTAAGAGGACACCTTTCTGGCCACGATTCAAAGAAAAATATATCTTAATGCTATAGCCAACCCCAACTAAGGGCAGACTTGGCACCAGCAGGGGTAGGGGGAAATTTTCCCGTCGGACAGGCCTGCCCCCCCCCTGTCGTCCGACGAAGGACTAGATTGTCGGATCAAAAATTTTAAAAAATCAGAGTTTGCCATCCAAATAACGTTATTTTGACTGCTAGTCCCTAATATTGTGGTCTAATAGCACATTTTGGACCATACTAAGTCATAAAAACTTTCCCTGTCAGCCCTACAAGGGAGTTTTTATTCCGGGCCATCAATGGAGGCTTCGTCGACTTCTTCGCTCAGAACCCTCCATCGGACATGTCGGACCCCTTGTCTGAACGTTTCTGGTGCCACCGCTAATTAAGGGGAAATATTTTTGTTTCCAGTGTTGTTACTTAATAGGAGTTCTACTGTACTCATATTGGGCCATCACTTGTCTGCAATAAAGTGATCAATATTGAGATTTGAACCTAATAATGTGGTGACATAATATCTTCATAATTCAGTATACACAATGTCATGGGCTGTTCATGAAGCCATGTGATTGTAATAATGTGGGATTGAGCCTAGGTGTTGTAAGCTTAAGCATTGAACAGCATGCATATGCTTCTCTTACTTAACACTCAATTTTATGAATATTATTTTTTGATTTTTTTTGTATATTCAGCTTCAGATACTGATTTTGTCATGGATGCAATGATTGAGTTACTGAAGGCAAGACATATATTGAAGTATTCCTATGCATATGGCTACTACTTGGAAGACAAAGAGGGCAGCAAACAGATATTTGAATTCATGCAGGTAATCATTTACACTTTCATAGTATTATGAAAACAAATATAATGCTATGATTTAATTGATAGTTTTGAAAGAGTATGAAATGAAAGTTTTCACCGCTATTGTTGTAGCAACTCAATGATCAAGTGCATAGTAATCATTGTATTGTTGTGTGTTCAGGGATATAGTATTGATGGGTGGGGGGAAACAACTAACCTTGAAGTTTTCCACCCAATTTAAACCACTCTTATTAAAATCCACTCTTATTATTTAGAGTTCACTAATTGTATAACCTACTCACCCTTAAAAAATATCTACCACCTACACTTAGTTTTCTATGGCTACTAACCTGTGTGTTAAAACCAAGACAATTTCAGAATTACAATGATCTATTAAATATTCATGGTGTATGAAATGGTACATAAACTAAACAGGAATGCAGATAAGAATGACAATTCCTTATATTTTTGTTTACATTAAAATAATTGATTCCAGCGCTAATATCTTTGTTGCATGTTGAATAGTCAGTGATTGATGTTCTCCATAATACAAAAGTACACTCTGTGAGTTAAGTTTATGAAAGATGAATGCAAGGATGCATACTAAATGCAGACAACATTACAGCCAATCAATTACGTAGAGTTAAAAGTTTATGAAAGATTAATACAAGCTAAGTGATACAAGATCCCCAGCCAATAATAAGAAGCTCAGGATGTTTACATTTTTTATAGGCATTGAAAACATATGCAAATTATTGAATGCAAGCTCATGAAAGATGAATGTAAGAGTACATGCTAAGTATGAGCACATGCTAAGTGGGACAACATCCTAACCACTAATAGGAAGAAAGCTCAGGATGTTCACATTTTTCATAGGCATTAAAAACATATGCAAATTATTGAATGCAAGCTCATGAAAGATGAATGTATGAGTACATACTAAGTACGAGTGCCTCAGAAACAATGAAAGATAGAGAACTCAAAGTGTTTACATTTTCAGACATAAAAATATTAATTATGACATCACTTTTACTACTACATATTATTTTTAGGATGAATTAGAGCAGGCATGTGAAACTTTATCACAAATGGTTGCCAGGCAGTTCCTTTGTACACCGCGACCCAAGGTCATTATGACAACTGCCATTGTTCAACGTAAACGCGGGGAGTTCCTGTCAGCTGTTAGCAAGGGGTTCTTGCCTCCGGACTCATCACCCCGCACACAGCCTGTCAGAAGGGATTCGGATGAAACAGATGATGAGGTAAATCAAACATTTTTTTATATTTTTACATCCAGATAATCTTTAGTGCTTTTTTGCAAATGGAGTGGTATTTTTAAAACAATTATTCATGAACGTGCTGTAAATTTTGTTTTGTTGTTTTGTTATGGTGCTTTATGCCTTTGTTTTTTTTTTACATCTTTTCTACGTTTGAAGTTTTATTCTTGTAAAATGCAAACATTAAACAGAGCTTATCTAGATCATTAAGAATTTTATCACATTTCTTTATCAACTGACTAGACAGCTTTATACGCCAGTGATAATGGCATCATCAGGTGTATGATGACGTACGCCTTCCGGCAATTGAAGGTGTTGCGTGCCTCGGCCAGGTGAAACCATATCTGTTCATTATTAAATCATGAGAAGTGAATTTGCATGTGTACTCCAAGTAAAATAAAATGTAAAGAAAAGGAAAAGACGATGTACAATCATTGAAGGTTGACTTGCGGAACATACATTTTTTTTAAATATAATAAAATAGAACGTTATATAGAAAATATAATAGAAAAATAAAATAATAGAAAATTTCCATTCTATTTTATTATATGTTAATAAATTTGTGTTCCTCAAATCAACCTTCAATGACTGTACATCGTCTTTTCAGTGTTTTTACATTTTTGTTTACTAATAGAATATATATCAGGAAGTTTTATAGGGTACCACAGTCATGTCGTCACGACGCCGGGTGCCGCTCTCTGTTGTCAACAGACGTAGATTACCGTTCATTACGCCTGAATGACTGCATAGACTTTCTGGAATAGGCATTTTGAAATCTAATATTTTGCCATCAAAATGTACTAAAAACACAAAAGTCACGTTATATTAGTTATTGAACATACATTTAATCATCAATTAAAATTTACAAAGAAAAAGTAAGATACAACATCTTAATAATTACGTTAGAAATTGGGATCATTGGTTTGTTAGTGGTGAAAATGGCGTCGGGTTGAACGCATTTTGCAATGATAGCAACAGAGTAGTATCTCGTCTCTATTCATGGTGTTTGCCTATTTGCTTATTACTATGATATAAATATTTATTTTATTTTTTATTTTTTATTTTTATTTTAATTTTTTATATTTTCATTCTATATTCATTCATTTATCACGGGTCCCAAGTCTTCCGGAGGTTGCGGGAGTCTCCTGGAAATTGAGATGTCCTCCCGCAAGCAAGAATCTCCCAGAAAATAATCCATCCCGCAATGTTTTCACTACTTTGTTATTAATTGTTTCACAGAAGTTAATGCCAATGGGTATCACCATGTGTACCAAAATAAATTAAATATGTTAAGAAATCTCATTTAACTGGATCTTCCGGAAGGGATTCATTCATTTCTGGTTTATTCATAAAAATCACTGAATTGCGTCAATTTACGAAAGTAGTTCAACTCAAAACGCCATAACACACTGATATCAATGGATATAGGACTCACAAAATGGCCAAATTGCAAGAAAAAGAGAAGCATAAAAACCGCACATAAAATGAATCACATAATTAACATACATTTTAAGGATCATATGTACATAATTTTTAATAATATAAAAAAAATAATAATTTAGTTAATACTGTATACAGGATTACCATTCAATCTTTAAAAAATACTTATTTTATTTTTATACATATGGGAATCTTATTATTTCCAAATTGAATTGATGAAAAAATAGAAGAATGATCATATTTTCAATATGAAATACTTGGTTTATTCCTTTGAATACATTTATGGTATATCAGTGTGAATACTAAGCTGTAAACTATGTTCATTGCTTTTTACTGTCTCCCTATGTATTTTTAGTCTTTTCTTCACAGGTTCCATTTAATACCTCATCTTCATAGGTTCTTTTAATGCCGCATCACTGATTTTCAACTTCATTTACATTTGATAATTGCAAAATTACTAATGGATTTGTTAGAAATGATTGCATCTTTGACCTTCTCATCCAGTGGTGTAATTTGGTCATTTGATATACTGTTTCCTTGAACAATTTTCTTGGAAACTTAAAATTATCTAAATTATAAATCTATTGTTGTTGAAGAATGAATTAACTTCCTAGATATCCAGAGATGGTAACACAGTTACTTCCCTATTGTATGCCAAAGGGCTATTGTGACAATTAAAATGGCTAATATACATTACTATTTATTTTTCATACTTTAATTGTTTGTTAATCTCAGTGTTTTCATTCTTAGGTTGATATAATTTGCTTTATTCCAATCGTTTACAACCCATAGTAATCTTTATATCTTATATTTTAACTCTGTAATAAATGGGTTTTATCTTATGTTATTATATTTTCTCATTCCTTTTACCATAATGTCCTATGACATTTAAATTTGTTTTTATTACTATTTGATTTTCTGTATATAACGTAAAAGGACAGGTGAGATTAATAGATTTCAAAATGCTAGTGCTAGATCATGTGACCTATCTGCCACATTGCAATCACAAATCCAGACAAAACATGACAAAGATAAAGCATACTAAATGCAATAAAATGATGATAATGTCTTGCCCTTCATTGAACCTAGTACACTGGATTGAACCAGTACTATGTTATTCCAAAATGATTGATAAAAACCTCCTTGAAGCAAATTAGTTGATCAGGTGGATAAAATCAATGGAAATTAGCCAAACATCCTTCATCACCATGACAACTGTACATTTACCATTTTGCTATTAGTGGAAGAATTCCTCTAATCAAAAATAATTTTTTTAAGTCAGTGTTATTGATGTTTGTTATTGCTGTTGGCTGTATAGATACAATATTTGTTATCTGTGATGAACTTGATAAAGTAATTGAAAGATAATCAAGCTTAAGATTACTAAATCCAGTGTAATAGTTAATATAAAAATGAACAAATTGCAAGTTGGTGGACTGGATTATCAGTCCATTACAGTAGTTTTATGACACACTGTTGTTAATATATTTTCTATTTTTTGTTTGTTCAAGAATTTATATCTATTTGACCTTGGTTAGGATTGAATCCAGGCTCTGGAGGGAAAAAATTTGCTATGTTGTGCACCTGACAAAAAAAGGTTAATGTTAACCCAGGGAGTTGTTATTTAGAAGGAGTCAACACATTTATCTACTTATCTACAGCCAATGAGCGAAGCGTGGTGTACTGAATCTTCAAAGAGAACCGTGACTAACTGCCTGTCTTTTGTCAATAGGGTACTTTTCCGACGATCTTGTGCCCTCAGTTGTTAAAATTTTGTCTTTGTAGAGAAAATAATTTCGTGACAAACGACCAGTAGAGCATGCGCAGAGTTTTTTTTATTCAATTTTTGCTGTTCAATAAATTTGCATCTCCAGAGAGTTTTACGAAGATTAATTTATAAAAAACCGCATAAAAAATTCGCCTTTTCGTTAAAAAGTTACGACTATTTGAAGTGGAGCTATATGTGTTTGTTCGTACACCGTCATTTGTAATCTTCATGGGTTTTTGATAAGTTTTAAAGCTTATATTTTATATTTTCCGCACCTATCTCCATTTTATAACTAGGACAAATAGTTTATGCAACTATCATTTTCTTTATGTCTCATTTTCTTACAGTTTCGTACGAAACGTAATTTGAGTTCAAACTGAACATGTTTTCGTAGCAGGGAAATGATATAGGGGCATATTTGTTGTGTCGGTTTGACGCTAGCGTGTAGTTGATAACTGATACTCTCTCTAGTTGCCATGCTTTTTCGTCACGCACAAGCATAAGAAGGTTTACTGCGCATGCTCATATTCGGTAATTGAACCTCGTCGTTAACTACCGCTCTGCTTTCTTATCTTGTCGGAAAAGTAGACTGATCAAAAGAGAGGATTTTGTTGTGAGTCCTTCTAATAACAACTCCCTGGTTCACTGTTAATGAGATTTTCGAATATTTAAAAACTGTTGGAAAAAGGGACATAACAACCCCTTTCCCACCCTTTCCAAATGGTGTTTGACCTTTTGACCTTTTTGTCAAACACAGTTTTTGTGTCTTAGAAAAATCAGTTTTACAATATATCAACAATTTTTTCCTCCGAAGACCTCTGCCTTTAAAAGAAATAATTAGCGACACGGCAAGACTGTCTTAAAAAAGGCTGTTTTAATTAATTCAAAGTGGGATGGCAGGTCATAATTATATAATTTGTATAGGTGTAATTTTGCCCTACCTGATGTGGAAATGTACCGAACCCACGATCTCCAGATCACTAGCCTGGCATCATACCTCTAGACCACCGAGCTTGCGCCTGATGGCCAGGGTTGAATTCGAGTCCAAGTAAGCAGCGGGTACTGCAGTGTTGATAGTAATTGTTATTGTTGTGATGGAATAATAGACAATATATAATTGGTCATATCATTTCTCTTTCGTTATTATCAATTTCCTTTTCATCATTGTGTCATCATTATTTCAGCATGTATTATTATTTTGCAAGTAGTGTATGATGTACTGTACTTCAACCAAGGATCGCTTAAAAAATATTCAACCAGGAAAAGGCTTTAGTTTTGTGCAGCCTTGAGTGAATACTGTTTAGAAAGTATAATACATGCTCCAAGTATTGAAATGTACTGTATGCCCTCGTGTTGTGATTCAATTTTTCAACAATAATTATTTCATCATCAGGACTATTGAGATAATTCCTGATGATGGCATAATTAATGTTGAAATATTGAATCCCATCACAATGGCGTGTATTTCAATACTTGGATTATGTATTATATGAATGAATGTCAAGATTTCTAAATCTAAAACTACATTTATATACTTACACATCATGCTATGCTGTTATTTTTTCCCTTTTCAATGTTAAAACAACAATTTTTAATGATTTGGTGATAGTTTCTGCCTGAGAAATGCCCAAAATCATAAACTTCGAAGACTCATTTCTCAAGTATTGTTCTTTAAACAGCTGTATGTATAAATGCTCGTAACTTCATGAAGAAATGCCGGATTTAAATGATTCTTTTACCATCTTATAGCTCTCATATTACAACGGTTTAACCCTGTATTGATAACTAAAAATCAATTTTTGCGAGGAGTGACTGGCTTGTCTTTGCCACAATTTCTTATCTGAGATTAATCAGTGGACTTTTCAACAATGTTTAGTTTATACAATATTTTGGTCACTGGTATTAAGCCTATTTAAATATATATTATGCACCAGATAGGCATCAAAGTTATGGCGTCTTAACCACCAGAGTGTTCCATAGCTTCTAAGAAGCATACTTAAGTGCTATATTAAATACAGTATACTATTGGTTTTCTAACTGTAATGTTTAATGAAGGGCAGTACATAGAACGAAGATTGGTTGCTTCTAATGTCTATCTGTTTCCCAAGATAATTAGAAAAGTTATTATCACCACTGGGGTTCATATTCATTTGTAATTTACTTCAAGACATTTCAATAGTGTAGAATATTGCGGCAATTTTTATTAACAATACATTTTAATGATGAATATAGAGCATAGCATTTCAAACATTTCAAAGTCATAATTGCTCATTTGAACATAAGAGGGAATGAACTACAGATAAGGACTCCTAAAATTCTGTACTCTCCGTATTTCTAATAATTTTATAACTATCTATCTATTTTATATTCATTTATTAGCTTAGTTTTTTGTAAATGTACTTATGTAACTGTACCATTTTGAAGAAAATATATAGTACTGAAAGTGCCTACAGTAAAAAGTCAGAAAATAAATAAAAATACAGTGATGAATTTCACATGCTGCAGCTGTGGCATGGCTGGTATTAATGTGGCTTTGTTTTGAATATTGTTGATGTAACCTGGCCAGTAGCTGAGAAAAATTACCTTTATGACCACAAGTCTGTAATTAATAATCATCTTATATAATATACAGTACTTTTTTTTCACAAAGTTGCTCCATACAGTAGTTGATAATCTTCATTGACAATTTGTTTGTAGGAGGACATCTTGCTGAGACAAGCGATAGAAGCTTCTCTCAAAGAGTTTGCACCTCCAGAACCACAATCATGGCTTGATGATACTGATGATGAAGATGAATCTCTAATCTTTCGCAGAAGACTAGGAGAAGGTAAACTTTTTAAAATTTCTATTTAATGGAGATGTAGCTTGGTGGTTAAGGTGCTTGCCTTCCAATTCCAGGGTCTTGGGTTCAAATCTTGTGACAGCAGAGGATTTATTTCTTGACTAAACATCTTCTACTCTTGTGTTTAGACCTAGTAGGACAGGCTGCAAGTGTCACCCTCAATAATACAGTAAAAAAAATAGACCAAGGATTGCCAATAGTGAACTTCTTTCAAAAGACATAATATAAACACAAGCAGTTTGGCGCAGCAGGAATGTTTTGGTTTCCCAAACTCGATGTTGGGGTTTCAATCCCTCGCTGTGCATTTCACTTGTGTCCTTGAACAAGCTTTTAAGCGCCTTGTACACACAAGGCGCTTAAAAGCAGTCTTGTTATGAGTTGTTTTGAGCCTGATTAATGCTGTAAACAGTCAAATGTTAGGCATTGTTTATCAGCACCGTGCTAAAATAACCAGCTTTTCACCTCTTACTATAAGCTTTCATAAACTGAGGAAGACAGCAGGTGCTGTCAAAATTGTTATACATACATATTATGTCTCAAGTCAAGTGTGTGACTGGAGTTTTACAACTGCAATCCTATTCTATACCATCAAGATATACATGGAACATTATTGATTACACTGATTCGATACTGAACCTTTAAATTGTTAATATATTTTCATTTCTGATTGATGTGTTGGTATGTTTTACCTTCACTGTCAATTTCTTTTGTTGCAATTTCAAATAATGGTTTTTTTTCTGTAAATAGATTCCTCAGGAATAAGCGAAGGTTTGTTGCGTGCCTTTGAACTTTCTCAGCAGTTGTTGATGCAACAAACTGAAGGAATAACCTCAAGGTAAGAATCATCACAAGATTAATTTGTTTTTTTGTTAAGCAGAATTAAAGACGCAATCTGACAACATATTGTTCCAATTACGCTCTTATTAGTTTGAAGTGTTCTAGTTAACATGTTCTAAATGTCTATCAGCTAGATTTTAATTAAGCTATCTGCTGGATAAAAACCAATTATGGTATGCATTACTCATTGTAATCAAGATACAAGATTCAAGATTCTTTTATTGTCACTTGGTTAAATAAGATACAAGTAAAATTTTGTTTTCCTGATGCAAATGGTAAATACAAACAGTTGAACAACTGAACATAAAAAGACAACAAAAAAAACAACCAAGAAGAACATTGTATATTGCTAATGGTGAATACTTGCATTAGGTATGGACTGAGTTATAAATAAATGATTTGCTATATCTGTTTGTATTGTACTTTGTGAAAACATAGCTTAAGCTTTAACAGGTTTCCATGAAACAGTGCAGGGCAGCGAATATCTTGATGAAAATGTGCATATGTACGTTAGTATAAGCACCTCTTATATGGCCTGAAAAATATTTTCTCATTCTAGTTTATGACAAACTGAAGGAGTAATCTTAATCCTACATTTTTAATAAAAAGTTTAAAATTTTTAATTTTTTTAGTTTCCCCTCTCCTCTTGTTGTTTCTCATTCTCATCATCTTTTGTATTTTGAGAGAAATAAATGAAATGAAAATTAAAAGAGCTGTTAATCTTACTTAAATATTCAAAGATAGCAATTTATATATAATATTGAATATTTCTTTTCAATTTTTTATCCTGACACAGATAGTATATGATGAAACCTTGGGTTTTTCTGGAATTAAAAATCTCAACAATGCCCTTGTTTAAGAGATGTGAAGTGATAGCTTCCAAACCTAACTTATAATAACTTGCCTGTGGCGTATTCACTTTGCGTAATTAAAACCAATGCATGTTGCTGCTCCCCCAGTAGCTGGTAACACAACTTTCAAATAATTTTAATTCTTAGTCATCTGTCAATATTAAAGGATATTTGGATTTTTAACAAATTACCTGGATGAAATGTATAATTTGTTCAATTTATATATTTGTTTAATCTACTAAAGTCATATATATTTAGGTATATTTATTGCAAAAAAAAGAATCGCACATACAAAACAGTCTATTGCAGCATAAGCTGAATTGAAAGACTGAAAAATGATTACAAAAATTGGCCATCAAAAATTTACAAATCATTATTAAAATAGAGCAATATTAAACATTCAAATTTACATTAATACCTTAAAAATTACAAAGACGAATTACATATTATAAATTCAAGAGAAGTTAAACAATTGAGTCTCTAAAAATATATATACAATTTCATAATAAAAAAATTTTAAAAAAAATATTTTAAAAAACCGCTATCAATCAATTTACAGGAGTCATGCACGACAAGGCGCCTCTGTGCCAAATGCTGAAGAGATCTCTGACCTTAGGGTCCCACTACAAAGTGAATTTAGAATTTTAGTCATATACGGTAATGGGCTATTTATAAATCCTGTTTTGGTGCTTTTATATTCTTCATATGGCTTATTAGTGCGTAGTGTCATGGTGTGACATGCATTATTAATTGGAAACCAATTATGAAATCTATTAGATTGTACTGCTTTTTTAGCAAATTTTGTACATAGTGAGACCCTACGGTCAGACAGTCTCTCCAGTCCTAGCTGTGAAAAGGCATCACTATAACTAATAAACTTATCGGCTAAAACGCACCGAGAAACTCGCGTTTGGATACGCTCAATCGCCATGCTTTGTTGTTTAGTTAAGCCTGGGTGCCACAGAGGCGCAGCTTACTCAAGAACAGGCCGTACATAACTCCTGTAGATCGTCAGGAGTTCATCACAATTGAAACCAGCTCTCCTCAACGACCACAAAATAAAAAGTTTACAATTTGCTTTGGCAATGATAGCATCAGTATTACTTGACCACTTGAGGTCATTATCGCTTAGAGTTATTATTATCGCATTATCGCTTAAAGTTTTAAACACGTTTTAGGACGACTGTACAATCTCCAACCTAAATCTCAGATCTCTCTCTCTCTCTCTCTCTCTCTCTCTCTATATATACTGTCTCTTATACACATCTAGATGTGTATAAGAGACAGCATCACAATAAATTATTAACGACTGAGCTAAGTTGTCAAACGAATTATGCAATTTAGTTATTTGTAACACAAATCTACTGTATTGTTTAAAACTATTTCTCCTGTATTGGTAATATATATCTAAATTGTCCAGGACTCGGTTAGAAAAACCTCTAACCACAGCACGTAACCCCACCAGGTACCCATTTATACTCCTGGGCCTGTCTCTTATACACATCTAGATGTGTATAAGAGACAGCGTAAAGGGCTACCAGAGTTCACAGGAAAATTTTTCATCATCTTTTGTTTTTTTTTTAAATTAGGATGCACGCGAAATATTATGGACTTGTAAGACGGACGAGAATTCGTACAGTATGTGAAAAGAAGACTTGATTCTATGGTTCAATAGTCACAATTATTTTGAAGGCATTGCCTGTAATAATGCAGTCGTTTCAACCTATAGGTTCACTCATATACTACCGTATGACCTCCTCTGTCACTTTCGTGGCACTTACTTGGGCACCCAACCCCTACTCCCAGGCCCTGTGACTCGTCGTTATGCAACTGGATAATAATAATTGATAACTGGATTTACTAGGCAGTGAGACTCGAACTATGGCTGCAGTTGTAAAAGCGAGTGTGATGTTGAGAGATATGTGGAGGTTAGTCTGCACAGTACAGTATTTTATTGTCTAATTGTACCTTACGTTGTTATAAATCGAAGGAGAAAATTTCACGGTAATTTTGTGTCTAACATAGCTTTAGAAAATGCATATTGCGTTAACATACAAATATAACTTAATTGCTTATTAATATTCAAATGAAGTCATATTTCAATATGCACAATTTGATATGGTCTTTAAAGAAGATTCAAGCATGGAAAGTGGTCAAAGTGTCGAACAGAAAACCCGGTGTAAAAACATAGGAAAACCGGATAGAAGAAGAAGACAAGAATCAGAACAAAAATAATGGCCAATAAAACCATAAATCGGGTTCCATGTGCAGCCTCACCTACCTCTCGATTATTGAAGATGCTTGTATTAAGAATTATAATCACACAGTAAATTTTTGTAGGTGGTTGTAGCATTGGAGTGAACTAACGTGCTGTGTTATAATAAATAAATGGATTAGAGACGCGAGAAGAGGCCATATTTCTACTCATTTCTGTTATTATCAATTATTATTGCATATTCTACAACTACAAATTAAGAAATATAATAACTATAAATATAATAACTCGACTTTTGTTTGCTGCTCGGTGTTTAAAATAATGATTCACTTTCTTTATTGTTTTCATTACATGCATAAATAGGCCTGTTTTTATACAGGTAGTTGTACAAAAGGTAGCACCAACAACTTGTGCAAATGTAATTGAATAAAACCATCGATAAAATGCTCATTACGCCACAGGCCTTTTTAAATAGGATAGATAAATCAATAAATAAATGAATACTGAATTATAAAACTTGTGTGTTTCAAGTGATTATCATATCGGCCTGTTGTGAACGTGGTCGTGAAAAAACGTTGCGCTAGTAGTTTGATTTACGAAGGCAAAAACTGTGCCGTGATAAGCTCCGAATTTGGCACGCGTTAGAGAAGCATTAACTCTAAATTATTATTTGTTAAATCTTTAGCATTTATATATCATTATCATCATATATCATTGTTTCACACCTGTCTCTTATACACATCTCTCTATGAACAATTGAGGGGCGCTAATTCTCAAAATAAGGTGATCTTATGTGATTTTTAACTACTTGACCGTGATTTTTTTTCGCGGGGGCGACTGGGGGGGTGGGGCGCGAGTAATTTTTTTTCGGGTAGCGTGTACTCCCCTCGTAGATACACCTGGTTATTGCCTCTCAGCATTAACCTTGGTATGAAAAATTCACAACCATTAAGCAGTAAACAATATGACCTGCATGGAACCACATGCTGTCAGAGTCTGAAAGAAAGTTAATGTAATTTAAATATTAATAATTCTGGATTTGTTATATGCCCCTCATTTGATTTTTTTTTTTTTTTTTCAGATGCAACAAATAGTTCAATAGAAAATCTAGGTTTTGATCACTCTCTACAGAAACATGACAAAGTACCATTTACTAATCCTCAGCTATCTAAGAATTTGTCAGCTTCTGATGTTATGAAGAGTGATATGTCAATAGACATTGACTTTGATAAACTTTTTCTGGTGAGCAGTAAGCTCGATTCAAATATACTGGCGAAAAGAGATTGCAAGAAACGAGAACGAACACATTATCATGAGACAAGACGATGCAATTCTGATCCATCTTATAGTATGGGAGACTCTAGACAAAATAAAGATAAAAGCCGCGGGCATAATCATGGTTCTTATACCAACAGCAGACACAGTCGATCTGACCGTCAGACAAAGTCTTTACGGTCGCGTAGAAAAGCGGAAGGAACCTCTTCTGGGTATATATCACATTCCTTCAGGACTGGATCCTTGCATGGGTGGACTCCACATTCCACAAATACTCCCGATGATGGGAACAATACGAAGGTGAACTTGCAACTCTCTCATGAACTGGACTCTGAATTTGAACGGATAAAAGAAGAGATGAAAAAAGTGCAAGGACAGGTCACTGAACTTGTGGCGGAGCATCAAAATGAACAAAGGAAAGAACTAGGTGCACGAAAAAAAGAGAGAAGAACTACTGAAAACCAAAATCCTTGTAATAAATCTCAGGGAGAAGGAGAATCAGAACCAGAAGATGGTTGTAAGAAAAGATATCAACAGATATCTGGAGGAAATTCAACACGAATTGCTGCAAAGATGGGAGAAGAAAACGTATGGAAGAAAAAATCTTCAAGCTGTGAAAATACAGAGGCTCTCATCCCATTACAGAGTAGAAAAAAAGATGATAAATCTCCTTGGCAACTTCGAGATGAAT